AATCAACAGCCGCCATGCACCAGCTGCAGAATCTCCAATAATGCTTCTTTTCAGTTTTCTTTAGAGTACGTCTTCCTAAAATGAACGAGATACATTACTATGCAAGTATATAGTCATAAAAATATTATATACCTAAGCGAATACAAAAATAGAAGTTACTAATATAATTTGGTTGCTAACCTGGTATAATAGCGCTATTGTCAAGTAACTACAATACTATGGTGTCGATGAAGGGATTCGAATTTCTCTGACTCGGTTGGTAATCCTTCCTGAAGAGATATTGGAAACTGCATTTGAATACAGAATACAGATTGAACACGCACTTGCAAACAGCGCACTCAAACTAACTAACAATTTTAGATGTATTTTATACAGAAAATAAATAAAAATTTTTCATAACGTCTAAGGACAGCATCTTACTAGGTAGACTTCAACAAATTCAAAAAGTAATTACACCAAGTACCTGTAAAAGAGATAATCCTCAAATAGATCTGGGAAAGCCCTACATTATCAATTTTGTAAAATAAATATATATAATATACATATAATATATATATATACATATATATATATATATATATATATATAATATTTGTATATATATTATATATATATATATCCCGTTTATACCGGAATCCGCCTTTGGGTTCCCGTTCGCCAAGCCTGTCTATTCTGCCAGTCTTCTTCAGATAGATTTCTTGCTGACATTACTTTTGAAATTCCGTGCATCCATGTTGTTGGTGATCGTCCTCGTTTTCTTTTCCCTGGTGGTACCCATTCTAATATTTTTTTGTAATCTTTCTTCCTCCATACGTCTAACATATCGGTACCATGTTAGTTGTTGTGTTTCGATATTTTCTAGGTAGGTTACCTTTAATTTTTTGTGATAACTGACATACTTCTGAGCTATAAACGATTCCGGGTTTTAATATGGTATTATATATTCTTTTTTTCGTTTCCGGTCTTATATTTTTCTGCCATAGTACTGAATTCGATGCACCTATAACTCGTTTCCCTTTGGTTATTCTGTCTTTTATGACTTCATCAGGTCTTCCTGTCTTTGTTAGTTTTACCCCCAAATATATACATTGATCGCATTTCTTAATTTTCCCATCTTATAAGTTGAGGTCATATACAGTATTTTCTCCTCCTATGCAAAGATATTGCTTTTTCTTCGTGCGATTAGGATTACTCCTGTTTGTCTGTCTCTTATTCTGTTGCAGTCGTTGTTGACTGTACATTTATCTTTCTACCTTTTTGTCGGCATTCCAATGGATCTTCTGCTATACGGTTTGTTGTTTTTACAGATGTTCGCTAATCTATCTGGTCCCATTCGGTTTACATGTTCGTTTCAGTTTTTTTTCTTGTTTTTATCTACCTGTTAATATTTTGAATTTTGCATTATTCGCGTATAATTCTGGTGGTTTGCCTGTCTCTTAATGATATGCCCGCTATTGATCTTAATACTTTCATTTCGATATTGTTGATCTGTTGTTTCGTCTTTCTTGTATCGGTCCTTGTGTCCGCTGCATATGTTAGGATTCTTCTTACTGTTGTCTTGTATACTTTTATTTTGCTGTCCGTAGTAAGATATTTGTTTCTCCATATGGTTTCTCGGAGGCAACCCCTTACTTTTGCCGCTTTTGATGCTTACCTTGTGGTCTCTGTTCTTATATCCCTGTCACTAGTAATCTCTACTCCTAGGTAATTGAATTTCATTACTTGTTCTCCAATTTTGCCGTCTATTTCTAGTTTGCATCTACGCGACTCTTTACTAATCACTATATATTTAGTTTTTTTTATTTATATTCTTATATTAACTTTGTTTGCTGTGATATTAAAGGTGTGAATCTGCCTTTGTAGGTCATCTTCGTTATCAGCAATTAGTATGCATCTTCGGCATAGCATAGTATCGTGATTTATGCGCTCCCATGTGGTATCCGTGTCGTTTTCTTACTTCGTGAATTATTTGATTCATTACCATATTGAATAACAATGGGCTGAGCGAGTCTCCTTGGCGGATTCCTCCTTTTAGTTCTATGCATTCTGTTTCTCCTGTTGGCATTATAACTCTGGTCTTGTTGTTCTTGTTAATTTCATTAATTGTCCTTATTATCTGATGGTCTATTGTTCAGCTCGTAATAAATTTAAAATGTCATTTCACTTCACCCTGTCAAAAGCACTTAAATCTACAAAGCACATGTATGCTGGTTTTACATATTCAATAGACTTCTCTATTATTTGTCTGATAATAAAAATTGCGTCTATTGTGCTGCGGTTCTTCCGGAAGCCTTGTTGTTCATCTGCCATGTTCGCTTTTTCCTCGATTTTATCTTTTATGACTGCCGTTAACAATTTCAATGTACTTATCAGACCAATGCTTCTATAATTTTTAGGATTTCTTGAGTCTCCTTTTTTAAGTATCGGTAGCAGGAGACTTTCCTTCCATTCGCTGTACTACTCCGGTATTTATATTCGACGAAATTTTAGGAGGTCCATTTGCGTTGTGTTGTTTCTCCATATTTTAGCAGTTCATTGTTTATCTTATCAGAACCAGGTGCTTTTCTGTTTTTAATTATTTTTAGTCGTTCTTGTAGCTCTTCTTCTGATATTAGTACTCTATCGTGGGTTTCGTTGATGATTATTTCTCTGTTCTCTTCCTCTCCTTCTCCATATAATTTCGTGAAATGCTCAGTCCATTGTTCCTCCGTAATGTTATCTATGCGTACAAATTCATTCATTTCTGTTTTTTGTCTCCTTATCATCTTCCACACCTTTTTCTGGGATCCATAGAGGTCGTATTCCATATCTTTGGTAAATTTCTCCCAGTGTTCTTTTTTGATGTTATCTATTTCTTGGTTTACTCTATTCCTGATTCTCACGTAGTCTTCTCGTGCCTCCGGAGTCTTCACTCCTTTGTATATTAGGAAAGCTTGTTTTCTTTTCATTTGCTAGTGCTTTCACCCTTTCGTCGTACATGGAGTTTTGTATTCCAGTTTATTTCTGTTAACTTTTCTTTTACCTAAAGCTTCTTCCGCTACTTGTAGGATACATTTTTTAATAATTTTCCAGGTTTCTTCTATATTTTTTTTTTAGTCTCTAGGTCATGGCAATTTAGCTTTTCTGTTAGTCTGTTTCTATACAAGTTTTGTGTCCCTTCTTCTTCTAAGCTTTCTATGTTTAACTTTTCTTCTACTTTTTTTATTTCGCTTGCCTTGTGTGGTGATTGCTATATTTATTTTTCCTAGTACCAGGCCATGGTCGGATCCTACATTGGCGGAAGATAGAGTGCGCACATCTATTATTTATTCTTGGGGTGTATTTTTCTGTTTGTTATAATAAAGTCAATCATAGAGTTACGTCCTCTTGTATCTGACCAGGTGATCTTATGTTGTATTGGGTGGTCAAAGTATGTGTTGTTAATTCAGAGGTTATTCATTAAACAAAGTTCTAGAAGTCTTTCTCCGTTGAGCGTTTCTTCGTTAAATCTTTGTGTAACTCCAGTCACAGGTATGTTGCCTACTCTGGCGTTAAGGTCGCCGAGAATTTTTGTTTTACTACCGGCTATTGTGGTGTCCAGTAGATCTTGGAGATGTACATAAAAAGTATCTTTGTCTTCCTTGTTTTTGTTGTTATCCGGTGCATAAACGGGGATACTATTAAGTATCGTCTGGTGAAATTTAAGGCAAACCAGCATCATGTGTTCGTTGATGTAGCTTATTTCTTGAATTTACTATATTAATTGTGCAATACAAGGTCTACTCCTGTCTGAGCTCGTTTGCTTTTATCTACTCCGCTATACAGGAATATAAATTTGTTTCTATTGGCACTTCCTTTCCGTTTCTTTTTTGTTTCGTTCAGGGCACATATATCAGTTTTTTAGGGAGCTCCAATTAATGCATAACTTCCTATTCCCGTTTGTTTCACGATGCAATGTTCCAAGTGCCAATTCGTAGATTATTTGGTCTCTTTGTCCTTTTTTTGCGTGGTTCGTCATCTGTGTATTTTTCCAATTTCGAGGCTTCTGTTCGGTTCTATGAGCATTGATTTTTTTGGTAGTATGTAGGCTGCTAACCTTGCTCACCAACCTCCTTTTCGGAGGACCATTTCTCCCTTTCTTGTTAACGCTGACATTGCCTTCCATTGGGGTTGGTTACCCAATCTCCAGCAAAATTGCTCAGGTTTTCCAGGGTTCACCCGTGCAGCCCAAATCGCACTTCGTGGAGGTGATGATGGGGATTGAGTAGGAGAAGCTAGAGAATGCTAACTGGAAACAGCATCTTATATTGCTCTTCACTACCCCTTTGAACCCCGCAAAGGGGTTCAAAGGGGTAGTGAAGTTGCCTATTGAAAACTTCTGTTAGTATCTCGAATAGTTTTTTGGTTCCATTTTTTATTACCTACGCATATATCACCTCTGTAAAAAAAAATATAAATGAGTAATACAGAGGGTCAAAAATAGAAAGCGGCCAAAATTAGCGCATCTGGTGCTTCTAGGTAGAGATTATCATATATCTCAAAAAGTAATTACAGTAGGTACCTGTAAAAGAGAATCTATGATCCTCAAATCGCTTTAAGCCGGAGAGACAGAAGTCCCAGCTACTGTCCCCAAGCTGGTAAGTGTGTACGTTAACTGGCATGCTAGTTCCTGGCATGCTAACTAATCGCAAAGAATTTAATTTTTCTTGCTAGTAGCATGCTGTGAGATGCAAAGCGCATGCGTGAAGAGTGTCACTGACGTGTCTAAACGCGCGCTACCGCTACAGGCATGCCAGTAGCTAGCAGAGAATTGTCAGATTTGTTGTGTTGCTGATAAAAATTAACTTCTTACTGCCAAATAGTTTTTTAGTAATCCAGTAAATATAGAATGCTGTGATTTTGACATTAATTCATAAAACTAACAATAGCTTGAAGTTTATTGAAACGCTTTAAAAAATAAATTGTGTTAATAACTAAATCTGATAGCTGTTTTATGTATTTTTAAAAGCTCTAAAATAAAGATGGTTTTTGATGATAAAGAGCGAATTATTGTTTTAATGATGAAGGGTCACGCCAATACACAAAGAACTTATAGTGAACTAGCTTACTTGTTCAACGATACGTTTCCAAACCATTCTTCTATCTATAAGGCGACAGTACAAAAAATTATAAGGGTACGTTCATAACAGAGACTTCTATCTTGCTAGAATTCTTTTTCTACGGCTAGCATTCAGTAGTCGTGATCATCAATATATAGCCAATTATCCTTCTTCTTTGTCGTTTTTTTGACGACGAGGTAAGAAAAGCGTACAATCTTTACTTTGTTTAATCAGTAGACCCATTTTTACCTTTCGGTGTTGGGCCGTTTATAATACAATTGAAGGGCTTGGTAGGTCAATGTGCTATGTTACAAATAACTGAAAATGAGATAATCCAGGCTAAAGTTTTTTTGGTTGCATTTTTAGAAGAACCTGTTAAAAAACTCCAATTTTGAATCTAGAATCTTTTAGATAATAAAAGTTCTTGCGAGCGTTTTTTTTTTTGAAAAATATACATTTCACCCTTTAAAAAAAATCAAATATGTACATAGCCCCTTTGTCTACCGACCTATTAGGATGTAGGGTATATCAAAATAAGTACATGGTGCTATGTGTAGATCAGAAAGCAAGCCAAAGTCACGAATTAGAGCTATATTTTATTTAAAATAAATCAAAATAACATTCTCTTAGTCAATGTAAAAATGGAATACAAACATCTAGGACGCTACCCTTTTTAATTGCCCTGAAAAATTGCTTTATAATACCATCTGTGTTCAAGGCGTACATATGGCAATAACTGCTTGATGTCTTCTTTTTTCTCTGCAGACAAACTGCCATTCTTCTTGTTTATTCTTGGAACTACAAAGTTTGGGGATATAACACAGATATTTTTATAACTACCAAATTCATCTACCCTTATCCATTTGAAGTTATCTCTAAATTGAACAGTCTCTCCAAGAAGACCCTTTTTCCGGTTTACTAGTTTTAGAGATGTAGCTAATTCCTCAAACCCCCTTCAAAATGGGGTTCCATATTTATAACCTGGTTTCCTTTGGTTGTTTGCAGTATTATCTGTCAATAATCATCTGGTAAGAATAAATTAGACTGTTTCCGTAGATTCTTTTCGATGCGACCAACGTCACGATCTGAGTCTAGGTGAGAGTGGCCCACCTCTGGAAATTTATGGTCTATAGTTTTGAAGTACACTTTCAAAATCATGTACTGGTACATACAAATATTCTATAAAGTCCTATTTAGTCCGGCACTAGAGTCGGACCACACTTGCAGATGATGTTTTTCTCGAAGTGTTCTATCACTTTCAACCGCACTCAACAGTGAACTTGCAACTTCTGTACTGCCACGATTTGCTGCGTCTTCTGTCCAGGTAAAAAATAAGCCTCTCTCTACATTTTTTGAAATTATATGCAGGCCGAGATTGTAAAACCACATCTGTCTGTTATAAAAAGCTTTTGATGTGGACAAACGAGGCAATGACATAGTCTGTTGCAGATCCATAGTGACATATGCAACATCGTCCAACAGATTAGCACTTTCCCTGTCAGCTTTTTGAGCCTTAAATGCAAATTTATAAAAATCAATATGGTCTTCTGAACATTGTCCACTATCACATGTACTACATGTATCCCTCTTAGGTTGTCCCATTGATAAATTGAACTCGTAATCATAAATAAATCTGTACATGGACTCTTTTACTAAGAATTTATCTGAAACTTGATCTAGTCTGCACTGTTTAATGTAAAGTTTGTACATTTTAGGTACGGACAACAACGGCGATAAGTGTTTTTTATGAAAATACTCTCCCTCCAAACATTCTGCATATTAGTGTATGATAACCTCTTCACCAGTTGAATAAATACTAAGTTATGGCTAAAAGTGAATGGGAGATAGTGCTATGAGAAATAATAACACATACCGCTTTTATCCACATAGATATCCCAATTTTCAAGCAAATGTAACATAACACCTTCACCTCCCAAACTCTTTAATTCATTAAATTGCAATATTTTACAATCTTCTGACGTGTCCCAGCTCGAATTCGAAGCTAGAATTCGAAACGTCAAGAAAATAATTTCAATTATAACTGATATGGATGATTATCATTGTATATTGGTTACAAAACTAAAATGCCGCATGAAAGTAACTTCAGAACAAGTATTATAGGTTAATATAAGATGTAGTATTTCTACTATCTAGACAAAATAATTTCACCAAAAAATCATCTTTAAGTGATGTTACGTTTATATTTATTTGTAAACTATTTTATTGGTCCCTCCCAAAGACCTTTAAAATACAAAATGTTAAATTAAAATTACTATGATTACATATTTTTGTTATTAGTGTTAGTAATGGAATGTGGAGTAGGTTACTGACGATAGAGTTTATTATTGGGTGTGTCGACCTCGGTACAACTATTCATATGCGATTCTATACTTGCGTTGATCTTGATGACTAGCAATTCATTACAAAATACTTTAATAGGTGCAGGAAGGAAACCTGTCTGCGCGGAAATTATTTGAACAATTTCCGATAATTCTGTCGTCAAATATAAAAACTTCGTTATTTGTATTTCTTCTGTGCTGATTGTTTGCAAATAAACAGGTGGACAATACAAGGTGTCCGGCATCGCTATATTCAAATTTTAGAAATTTAATCTACGCTTAAGATGACAAAATAGGTTCATTGTTATTCATTTCCAAGTTACACAAATGACTGAATTTTTCGAATACATATCGTTTTCGTTGTGAAATCCTTTATTTAATGCCTAAATAATTAAAATTGTGAACTGCCAGTGTGTCACTCTAGAACAGATAGAGAAAAGAAGAAGAACGAACAGAGATAACCCGGACTATAAAGCGCTCAACAGAAGCGTTAAGAAAAATATTCGAAAAGACCTCAGAGTTTATAGAACAAACCAGATTCTTGAAACCATAGAAAACAATAAGAACATGAAAGTACTAAAAACATGTAAATCCACTGGCAAGAATAAAATCATAAAGATAAAAGACGACCGTGGAACATTGTGCTCGCATAAGGAAGAGATCGTTAGAGAAATCCGAAAATTTTATGAGAAGCTGTATACTTCTACTATTCCGAACCCCGGTATATCAACAAAACATATCTTAAATGTGGGCTCAGAGGACTTCCCTGAAATAATAACATCAGAAACAAATGAAAAATGGGAAAACGCCAGGAGAAGATAAAATTACTTCAGAGATGCTAAAAATGGGAGGCACTGCATTAGTAGAGGCAATAAGAGCATTACTTAATAAATGCCTATTGGAAGGACAAATACCGAAGACATGGAAAAATGCGGAAGTCATTCTACTCCATAAAAAAGGGGACGCCGCAAATATAGAAAACTACCGACCAATAAGCTTATTGTCACACCTTTACAAACTACTAACCCGAATAATAACAAATAGATTGACAGCTAAACTAGATGCATACCAACCAGTGGAGCAAGCAGGCTTTCGTAAGGGTTTTAGCACTATCGATCACTTGCAAACAATTCGGACCATTATTAAAAAACAATAGAGTACAACATACCACTACATCTGGCATTTGTCGATTATCACAAAGCATTCGACAGTATCGATAAATGGGCTTTCTTAACAGCATTGGACGACGCCAGAGTAGATTCAAGATATGCTGCCCTCCTTGAGAATATATACGATGATGCTACTTTTCACGTAAAAATAGATGATGATCTGGAAACTATGAAAATAGACCTTGGCAAAGGTGTGAGACAGGGCGACACCATCTCACCCAAGTTATTTACTTTGGCATTAGAAAATGTTTTCAAACAACTAAATTGGGCCGAAAATGGATTAAAAATAGATGGAGAATATCTTAACTATTTGCGTTTTGCAGACGACATAGTATTAATAAGCACAGATATCCATGAACTAAAATCAATGCTACAAGATTTAAATCACAAATCGAATCAAATAGGATTAAAAATGAATCTCGACAAAACAAAGATATTAAGCAACAGCCTAGAAAACATCACGATAGATAACATCAATATAGAAAAGGTAGAACAATATATATATATATATATATATATATATATATATATATATATATATATATATTATATATATATATATATATAGAGGACATGCAATTAAAAACGAAAAGGAAAATCAAACCTTAGAAGAACACAATTATCATGGGCTGCTTTTGGTAAGTTGAGCTTCATTTTAAAAGACAGATAAATCCCAATTCACTTAAAACGAAAAACCTATGATACTTGTATACTACCAGTTGCAACTTGTATCCATCTTGCATGGATTGGAAACTATGGCAATAACAAGAAAAATGGCAGAACAATTAAGAGTAACTTAACGGGCCATGGAGAGGACCATGTTAAATTTAAGCCTCAGAGACAAAATTCCTAACACCGAAATACGTCGAAGAACGAAAGTAACCGACATCATGGGAAAAATAGCGACATTGAGATGGCAATGGGTAGCACATGTAGCAAGATAAGACACCAACAGATGGTCTCATAAAGTGACATTCTGGAGACCTCGAGAAACCGTGTCCAGTTTGTTAAAAATGTGGACTAGTTTCTCTTTTGTGCAGACTAACATAAAGACATTGCCTTCTCACCTATCCTTGTTAAACCTGTCCTGTTAATATTGTTCTGAAGCTATTTTCTTGTGGCATTTTAAATTAATTACTATTTAACTGGGAATAAGCCACAATGAAAGATAAAATTACGTTTATTGACGTTTCAATTTCCACTTTGGCAATCGTTCTCAAAATACAAACAGTAAATTAAACAAATTTTGTTTTTTTGTTACATAGTGAAAAATTCTTCTAATAATTTAATTTTATTTGACTCATTTATATTCACAATTCAGACATACATTATGCATTTTAAAGTAGACGACTTTAAAATGATATTGCCAATATTGTTGAGTTGCGCTCCTGGGACGACTTTACTTATAAGATAGTTCATTCGATTACATGAAATAAACTTTAACTTCAGAATATCCGTCAGAAAAAAAATCATAGCATGTAATTCGTCTTTAAAAAGACAAACACATGACATGATGACAGTAAAATTCTCCTGTTAGTGATTCCATAGTAAATTATGAGGGAAAAAC